ACTTTGGAAATCCACACCTGTTGTGAATGACGAGGATGACGACGATGATGATGGCGTTGCGTTGCAATAATTAAACGCTTCTAAATGTTTTTTATTAAGGCGTGTGTTCTTGTTTCGTGGCGAGCCATGGGGGTAGACAGAAGACGTGTCAGAGATGAAGAAGAAAGGAGATATTGCAAATTAAAAAAAAAAAAATGGGACTCATGTGATAGCTGAAGATATCTAATCCTTGAAATTTGCAACCGCATTCTGGATTTGAATAAGGTATGATGTTGACTTGCAGATTTTTTTTTTTTTTTGGATTTATTGGTAATTTGGTGGAAAATTTTGGGACATGCTCGTAAGGCTCCTGTCGCTTTCGCTAGACAATGGCTTAATCTGAAGTAATATCAAAGGAGGGTTGATGAAAAATAAGCATTTTTATACCCTCCGGCATAATTCTACAGAGAGTATATATCACCTGATGCGGCAAAAACGTGCTTCATCGAAATAATGGTTTTAGTCCCAGGGTCTCTTTGGTTCAAATCCATTCCAGGACATTTGGGTCCTGTCTGTACATTTGAGTGTCAGTCCATCTGACTGGCTGTTGTGCACGATAACTCTCGAAGGGAATATCCGATTTGATTCAAATTTGGCACATCGTAATATTAATGCCCAGATTAGATCGAGTTCGGAGATGGGCAATATATGTCCACTCCTTCTGGTACCTCACCCACGATAGGTCAAAATTTTCAAAGAAAATAATTTACCTCACAGAAAGAGAAATGATCATTAGCTCTGGTGCAAATGCCAATATTTGTATTAGTGCTATATCAGGTGCGAAATTGGACAATATCGGCCCACTCCCTCTGGTATCTCCCCCACAAATGGTCAATATTTTGAATAACCATAAAGTTCGTAAAACGCAAAATGAACAACCGATTCCTCTCAAACTCGGCACATCTCAATATTTCTATTGAAAAAAATCAACCTGGTATGAAGATGGAATATTTCGGACCATTCGTTCTGGAACCTCCCCCACAACGGGTCAATGTTTTGAATAGTTAGATCTCTTTTATGAAATACGAAATAGAAATTAGATTCTCCTCCTATTTCCACTTCCCAAATATTTTTACTAACGAAAGTTCCGGTGTGAAAATAATAGATATCGGCCTACCCCTTCAGGTACCTCTGCCACACAGGTTCACAATTTGCAATACTTACACAGGGTGAGATGAAAAAAAAAACTGCAACCAACTTCAGACTGCCGTAATTTCTAAGCCACTTATCCGACAGCTGTAAAAATTATCCCAGTGACAGCACATTATATTGTTTACAAGCGTACAGAACCATTTTGTTGCGAACTTTCCAAAAAAAAAGTTATTCATGATGGAATTAAAGCGTGGTAGTGTGATTTCTTTATATTTGGCTGGAGAACCACAAGTGGCTATCGTTAGAGCACTCCAGCAATTAAGTGTGAATAAATCTTTTGTGTCTCTCTTACCATCGCTCGTTACCGTGATACTGGTTGCCTAGCCCGACGTCAAGGAAGTGGACGAAAAAAAACCAGCAACATCAGCAGAAGTGGTTCGAAAAGTAAAGAAGCGACTTGATTGAAACCCGTGTCGCAGTGGCTGAAAAATGGCTCGTGAGCTAAACATATCGCAATATTCCATTCGGCAAGTATTGAAAAATGAGCTCGGGGTAAAGTCATTGAAATTCGAAAAAGGGCAAGAATTTACACCGCATCAGAAAATAGAAAATAGACTCAAAAGAGCTAAAGATTTGCTTCGCTTGGCCGAAATTGGTGAACTGCCGTATTTGGGTTTCTTCGTCTCCGATGAGATAACATTCGTTTTCCAGCCGTTTGTAAACAAACAAAATGATCGTGTTTACTTGCCAAAGAGGTCAGCTGAAAATGTGCACCTTCGGTTGGCCACCAGAACTCAAGCGCCGGCCATGGTGATGGTGTGGGCCGCCATAACAGTCGATAGTTGCTCTGCGCTCGTATTAATCGACCGTGGCATCAGAATAAATGCCGAATATTATCGCCAGAATATTCTGGAGGGTGTATTAAAGTCTTGGGCGCGCAAACATTTTGGCCGCAGACTTTGGACATTCCAACAGGACTCAGCATATTGAAAGAAAGACTCAAAAGAGCTAAAGAGTTGCTTGCTTGGCCGAAAGTGGTGAACTGCCGAATAAGTGTTTCTCCGATAAGAAAATATTCGATCCCCAGCAGTTTGTGAACAAATAAGATGATCATGTGTACAGCTGAAAATGTGCACCTTCGGTTGGCCACCATAACTCAAGCGCCAGCCATGGATGGTGATGATGTGGACCGCCATAACAGCCGATGGTCGCTCTCCGGTCGTTTTAATCGACAGTGGCATCAGAATAAATGCCAAATATTATCGCCATAATATTCTGGAGGGTGCACTAAAGCCTTGGGCATGCAAACATTTTGGCCGCAGACCTTGGACATTCCAACAGGACTCAGCACCATCGCACTTAGTACGCGCCACCCAAGAATGATTACAAAATAAGGTTCCTCGTTTCATTTCCAGCGCATAATTGCCACCAAATTCTCCGGATACCAATCCGTTGGACTATTGTGTCTGGAGGATTTTGGAAAGCAAGGTTGGCACTAAAAAATACCAAAGAGTCGATCACCTCAGGCACGCGCTTCACCGGGAATGGGCCAAAATACGGCAGAGCAACATTCGGACAGCGTGTGACAGTTTCATTGGTCATTTGAGGGCCATAACCAGTCACACAACATCAATGACCCTCATTCCAAAGGAGTAAAGAGTTCTAGCTCTGCTGGTTCATCATACACAAAGTACCTTTCACAAATTTTCGTATCGTTCTTTTAATTCTACAACTACCTATATACCTCAGTCCTACAATGCAATATTTCTAGCCGCCGTTCACCCAAGTCTAAATTGTACCAAATTCAGTACTTTTCGTGCACATTTCGAAACCTACCTCTATATCCCATTCCTATACTCTGGCAGTAATTTTAATTTCAAATTCCAGAATTCCAGCTCCATCCGTTCCCACAAATTTAAATTGTACGAATTTTAGTACCGCTTAGTACTTTTCGTATACATGGGTACACACTTCCAAAGCTACTTCTTTTCATCGCTCCCCTACTCCTCAACCTTGATTCCCATTCCAAATTCAAAATTCCGTTCACATGATGGTGTGGTACCAAATCGTACCATTTCGTACACTTATCCGTTCCCACAGATTTAATTGTACTAATTTTAGTAACGCCTAGTACCTTTCGTATACATGAGTACACTGTTTCAAAACTACCTCCTTTCATCTCCTCCCTACTCATCAACCTTGATGCCCATTACAAATTCCAAGTTCCGGTCACAAGATGGTATGGTACCAAATCTAGTACATTTATAGTGAGAATTTCCAAAAACCCTTTAGTACAACAATCATACACTCCATGAGCTGCCCTCGTCCCAAATTTAAGAGTTCTAGCTCTATTACTTCCCTCAAATACAAAGGGTACCGTATGTAGTACCTTTTAGTACTTTTCGTACCGCTCTATTAATTCCCAAATTACCAACATACCTCAGTCCTACAATGCAATAGTAATCTTATTTCTATCGGTTCACCCTAGTCGAAGCCATTTAGTACTTTTCGTGCACGCAAATAAATAATTCGAAAATTACATCCATATCCAATTCCAACACTCTGCCAGTACCTTTAATTTCAAATTTCGGGATTTCAGCTCCAAACAGTTCCTTCAAATTCAAATTGTACCAAATCTCGTACCGTTTAGTACTTTTCGTGTCCCTACTTATGGACTTCCAAAACTACCTTCCTACATCGACTCTACTCCTAAACCTTGATTCCCATTCCAAATTTCAAGTTCCGTTCACATGATCGTATGGTACCAAATCTAGTACATTTTAGTACTTTTCGTACATTTATAGTGAGAATTTCCAAAAAGCCTTTGGTACATCTATAATATACTCCATCAGATACCCTCATTCCATTTTTAAGAGTTTCAGCTGGTACTGGTCGTACAAACATCTATCCGTTCCTACAAATTCAGATTGTACCAAATTTAGTACCATCTAGTACCTTTCGTATACCTGAGTACACACTTTTAAAAGAGTTCCTCTTTTATCGACCTTACTCGACAACCTTGATTCCCATTCCAAATTTCAAATTCCGTTCACATGATTCGATATGGTACCAAATTTAGTACATTTTAGTACTTTTCGTACACTTATAGTGAGAATTTCCAAAAACCCTTTGGTACATCTGTCATACCCCTCATCAGTGATCCTCTTTCCAAATTTAAGAATTCTAGCTCTAGTGCTTCGCTCGAATACAAAGGGTGCCATATTTAGTACCTTTTCGTACCGTTCTTTTACGAATTTTCAAAAAACCAGCATTATCTGACCCCTTCGGACCAAGAATGAGCCTCACCCAAAATTTCAGGACTCTACTACCTTCAGCCGTTTTGTCTGGGCGTTTATTCAAAATTTTAGGGGTTCTAGCTCAAATACAAAAGTACCTACCTTTTCGTACGATTTTCTTACGAATTTTCAAAATCCCATCCTTATCTGACCTCGTCGAACCAAGAGTGAGCCTCACCCAAAATTTCAAGACTCTACTACCATCAGCTGTTTTATCTGGGCGTTTATGAATCTTTTTCTTTTATTACCACAGATAATGTTCCTGTAACTCCCTATTCTCTCCCGAAAATTTAAATTACATTTTTTATTTTCTCTCTCAAAACTCTCTCCGGAAACGAATGAGATATCCGCTAATTTCTTCAAAAATTATTTCAAATTTCCCCCCATATTAAGCAAATGAATCAATGAATATTCATTACGAATTATTCCAACTTAAAGCAATTCGCATTCATGTTCCGCACATTCAAACTCACTCGCACACACACACAATTATTTCGCTATTCTTCCAATCCCCCCACCACTTCCTCTTCCTCCCCTCGCTTTACCGTTGAGTTTTAAAATTAATGAGCTTACCTGACATGGAGCCTGAAACAGATACGCATCGCCAAATGCCGTACTTAAACAGAAGATATAATCACGTTTGGGATGTTCGGGTATCGGCTGCATTATAGCACCATCGACGATAATCAAATGTTTGGGGGCGGCCTCCACGCTGCGGCCCTCACGCGAATCGCACGGATAGAAGAGCAGAGTGGTGCCCTTAAGACACACCCAATAACCCTTCCAACCACGTTTACGGGCTAATTCGATTTGATGTTTCTTTCGCAATAACCATTTCTTTACCGACAGGAAACTGGAACAAGAAAAAAGAGGGAGAGAGAGAAAAAAGAAAGAAAAAAAAAACGAGGAGAAATAAGTATGAGCGGAAATAAAGTTGGGGCCTCAAATCAATGGGATTTGAGGTACTTAAATCCTTCTTGCTGTTGCTTTTCTTCGTTGCCTCCCCTCCCTTCGTGCGTGCGTGCGTCTACTACTTACCCAGCTTTGCGTACAGCTCCTGTACAATTAAATGAGGATGCCGCCGTTCCAGTTGCTTTTGCTTTGTATGGTGACGCCATGACACTTTCGCCATCATCTTCATCCGATACGGCTGTAGTTAAACTCATGCGGTCATCGTCGGAAATCTAAACAAAAGGAAGATAAAAGTGGGGTGGGGTGGGATGAGAAAAGAAAAGAAAAGAAAAACGGAAAAGAGCATTAGCATTAACAGTAGCAATTCGAATGTTCGGAGATTTATTTTTTTCTTTCTCTTTTTTTTGCCATCTTGGGCGAATTGAATGGACATCCTGTTGCAAACTCAACAGAAACTCAATCTTGTTATATCCTGCAGCACTACAGCGCTGGGGGATATGTACAGTTTTTAACAATGATTTGTAAGGCATAATGGTGGAAAAAAGGTATATAGCTTTTGGGGTTAAGGGAAATATATACTTAGGTTAAGGTATTGTATCTAAATGTGGAGCTTACGAAAATGACGTCTATGCCTCAGAGTAGAAATGATGCCCAAACACCAGTACTTCGTTTGGGAACAATATAGTTAAGAATATCTTCTGGAGTTTCAATTTCCCAGCAAAAAGACCCCTTTGTCTTTAAGAGAAGTTTTCGAAGTCTTCAAAGAGAAAAGTATTTTTTTTTTGTGGGAGAGACCTTATAAACCTTTGAAAGAGGTCCACATGGTAATTTAAAAGAAGATCGCATGGATTTATATGGCTGGACCTCGAGCTCTTCTATGAGAAAATCTTGAGGTCTCAAATGTGGTGTGCTATCGTGATTTTGCCGTTTGTGAAAGGCAACTGCAACAGAAGTCCTTGGAGTTTGTAGCAGCTTTGCATGGTTATCCATAGCACAGTGACCGGCGCGATGCTTATTGCCCTTGGTAGGTTCTGGCGATTTCGGAAAATCTGTAGGTTTGAAGCTGTAATTTTGCCATGAAGATTTTAATATTTTCAGTCCTCAGATTCATCAGAGCTCTGCTTGTGGTCAGACGCCCAAGCTCAGCAAGTTCTTCTTCTTTAAATTCTTTCACTAGCTTTGCCGGGATAATGTTTGAGTTCAATGCTAGAAACTCCCTTTGAGTTTGGTGAGTGGTGCTATATTCATTCTCCTCTATTCTCTTCGTTATATTGTCTGAGGAGATTGGAAGACTATCTAATTACTCTCAGCAATGAGTTATTTTCCAAAGCCTTTGCCATTCCCAAGTCCAGTCCATGGAAGAATCGATTATATTCGGTGGTGGATCCATAATATTATAAGTGGATTGTAATACTGCCATCTGTATCACAAAACGCTACAACTGACATTAGCAAAGATCCATGACCATCGTATGGCTGAAATGCGTATCATGGGATAACGGTGTCATACTGCCATCAGTTTTTGAAACCCTTAATTTCAACTTAAGAAAATAGTGTGTGTTTTCAGTCGAATATAGAGGTCTGCGTGTTTATTCCTTTTATCAGCCTGTGAAGTTTACCTCAGATCAGTAACTCAAAGAAAAAAGCAACATATCGCCGGAGTAGTGTGCTTATGGGGATGTTGGGAATTCACCACGATTTATCACGGCAAATTCTATTGGGGATGTTGATTTGGGTAAATTCACCACGGTGAATTTTAATGGGGATGTTGTCTTGGGAATTGTACCACGGCAAATTCTATTGGGGATGTTGATTAGGGTAAATTCTCCACGGTGAAATATATTGGGGATGTTGTCTTGGGAATTGTACCACGGCAAATTCTATTGGGGATGTTGATTGGGGGAAATTCAGCACGGTGAAATATATTGGGGATGTTGTCTTTTGAAATGTACCACGGTGAAATATATTGGGGATGTTGTCTTTTGAAATGTACCACGGTGAATTATATTGGGGATGTTGTCGTTTGAATTGTACCACGGCAAATTATATTGGGGATGTTGTCTTTTGAATTGTACCACGTCAAATTTTATTGGGGCTGTTGGCGTTGGCGTTGCTAGTTTTAATATGAACTACTAGATGGCGCTAAGTTTAGCGCAGACACAATCCAAAACTGTGTATGGGATGGTGAAATTTCAAGTTTTAATATTCACCACTAGCAGAGACACCCTCCGAAAAAAAAAATGTATTATGATCATATCGAGTGGGGCTAAAGAGATTCAACATGTGAGAAGTGAATATAGCAGAAACACATCTGAAAGAGGTAAGTATCGAAGAAAATCATTTTATCTAGATGGCTCTCAGAATGCTTTTACATAGTCAACATGCTGATTACTGCAGTCAAATGTGCTTATTAATTTATTTGAAAACATATATTTCAAGAAATCGACTTCAATAAATGTGATATATTATAGAAGAGTTTCAATTGACAAATATGCTGCAATTATTGATATTTCAGGGGTTTTAATTTCAGCATAGATGAAAATATAAATGAAAATATAGACAAAGAAATGACATCGAAAAATTCCGGAATAATCAAGTGAAATTCTTGAAAAACGATAACGAAGTCGAGTGGGTTGAACACGAAAATCAGCATGTTGGCTATGCAAAACATGATGAGATAAAAAGACAAAACTAACTTTTCGTTGTACTTGTTTTAATTTGTCTATAATTTTAGCGACTCAAAAATGTTCAGTTATTCCCATCGAAACGATATAGGCGACATCTAACGGTGAGTTCTATCTATACTATCCATAAATTATGTTGTAGCATAGACACACTCCAAAACTATTGAAATATGATCATATCAAATGGGATTAGAGAGATCCACCATATGAGAAGTGAATATAGCAGAGACAAATTTGGTTAGTATCATAGTCAACAAGAAGATGTGTGTTCTATTATTTTGTCCAGATGGCTCTCCAGTCATTTCCCTCGAAACGATATAGGCGACATCTAACCACCAATTAATGTTGTAGCATATACACACTAAAAAAATGCTGCTGTAGCCAATCAAAGCAAATTCTTCTTGTGTGGACAGGCATTTTGGTACATTATATCGATCGCTTTTTGATAGTTTTGTCGATGAAGAATTTGTTTACATTATGTAGCAATTTGAGAGAATTGAAACTGAAAGAGTTTCATGACAAACCCTGCATCAATTCGGTATTGAAGATTGAAGGGATTTGAAGAAGGAAACACCATTGTTTACATTAACTAACAATTGGATTTCTGTGAAATGGATATGAGAATTTGGGGGGAAGCGTTGTTGCAGAGTTTCATGACAAATTCTGCTTCAATCATAGAATTTCTATTTGTTTACAAAATGTAGTCAATAATGTATTGATTGGATTGGAAGAAATTTCAGTACTCAACAAGTCACAGATTAATAAGCATCGTTTCTTAATATTTTTAAAAAAGTTTTTATAATGTCTCAAAAAATTTGTTGGTCATGCAGCCTTTATTTCAAGGAAAAAAGTGAATTTGTGAAACATATGAAAAAGCATTGTATGTTTTGTGATGTTTTATGTGAAAGTGTAAACGATTTAGAATTGCACTTAGAGAACCATCATGGAGATGAGCATGTAATAAAACAAAATCGGGATCAACAACAAGAAAAACTAAAGCAGCAGCATGAAAATAAATCAGCTGTGAAGGTGGAAAAGTTTTGTGGTGATTGTGATAAAATTGTGAATAATATACGATCACACGTTCGTAGCGAAGAACATCGATCCACCGTGAGAAAAAATCTGGATTCTGACATAAAAATTGTTAAAAGTGCATTTAACAAAAATATACTCAGCTATGAGATACAAAACAATAAAGACATTTTGTACCCGATCGATTTTCTTAATGCTTCAAAAGAATTAATAATTAAAACCTTAAAAAATGAGTTAAACGGTAAAACGCTCATAAAATTTAATATGGAACTCCAAGGACTATATGTGAAACCAAACAATGAAAAAGATGGACCTTCAACTTCCAAAGAGTTAACTATTGAAAATATATTTAATCATATTTCAAAAACAACGCTATTAACCCTGGGAGATGATTTGGAAGAGGTTGTTTTCAACCACTGTGTGGAAATTATAGCAAAATCAGAAGAGTTCCAAGAAAGAGGCTCTAATTGGGCCCTGGAGAAACTTTTAAAACTTGACATAAATGTGTTGAGAGCCAACTTAACCCGTGGCTCACATTATATTCCAACTCCGAAATCATTAAGCAACAAGAAGGGTGCGTGCCTTAACATCAAAAACTATGATGACTTTTGTTTCAAGTGGTGTATGGTTGTTGCATTGGGAGAAACTGCATATGGAGATCCGAGTATAACCTCTTCATATAACATCGACATACACCAAGATGTCATTATTCTGCAGTCTGGAATATCGCTAAATTTCGAACAATTAAATTTCCCATTGGGTCTTAAATATATAAAAAAATTTGAAATGAACAACCCGGAGATTAGCGTAAATGTTTTCGGTTATGAAAACAAGTCGGTCGTTGGTCCATATTACTTAACAAAGGAGACGAAAAGCAATCACATTAATTTAATATTGCTGCACAATGAAGAACATTTCCATTACATTTTGGTTATGGATATGTCTTGGTAATTAAAAAAAAAAAAAAACTTATCAATCAAAACCATATTCTAATAATCATGTATTTGTTCTTTTTTTTTTCAGTCTTATGCGGTCTCAATTCACAAGTCATAAGGAGAAAGCTTATTTTTGTTATGGATGTCTACAATGTTTCCACGATGAAAATAAATGTATGACTCACAAAAAGCAGTGTGGAAACGTAGTCTGTACTCTGCCAAACAAAAAGGAGGCTGTATTGAAGTTCATCAATCACAAGAAAAAGGAAAAGGTGCCTTTCGTAATTTATGCTGACTCCGAGAGCATACTGGAAGACGTGCCGGAAGATGAGAACAATGGGGCGAGTAAAAAAACGGAAAAGGTAAAGAAGCATATTCCATGTGCTTTTAGTTATTTTATTAAATGTAGTTTTAATGAAAATTTAAATAAGTTATTTATATATAGTGGTCCCGACGCAGCAAATGTTTTTCTGAAAGAACTAATTCAGGATTGTAAATTTTTGTATGATAGTTACCTAACCAAAACGAAACCTATGAATACTCTAACACCCGAAGAAGAGACAGCCTTTCTTAGGGATATAAATTGTCGTATATGTGGCGATATTTTAGGTAACGATAGGGT